AACGCACAGACTAATTGTCTTTAGGTGTAAACGTTTTCTCACTGACAATTTTTTTTTTTTCAAATGTCAAGCAGAGGTTATGGAAAGAAAAAATTAAGACTTTAAACCTTAAATTATAATCTAACAAGGAGCTTTGACAACTAACAATTAAAGCTATCCTGTGGAGAAGATGATCAAATGATCCTGGATTCAAAGTTCTGGTATTATACAGGAAAGGGGGAAGAAGATCACATTTTTGTGACATATTTGGCATTATGTAGCACCTTGGTTGGCATAATAAAAACAAGTATGAGAATATATGTAAAATAATCTGAAAATCACTGATGCTGTTAACCTCTGACCATCTCTGAAATTAAAGGCCAAGAGATAATTTGTTTAGTCTGAGACCACAACATTAACTTACTGGTACAATCCACAAAAATCGGGTATCCCTGTCACTTCACAAAATAAACACACACAGAAAGAAAACCCAAATAAATTCTAGAGAACAATAAATGGCAGGTAATAAAGAGAATTGAATATATGTTTACACACACACATACATACACACAATTTTGGTAAAGAGAACAAAGACCATTTATTTGGGTAACCTCTGAAACAAGGGTCTGACATTATAATCTCCTCATTTAAAATATTAAGAGGGTTATTGCAAAGGCAACAAGTAGGATAATTTTTCCTCATAGTAGAATAAATGCAAAGGTCAGGTGCTACAATATTACCTGGGGTTTTTTAAAGAGGGAAATAAGATTATAAAGAACGAAGTTTGTTATAAGCATAATCTATTTATATAAGACAAATGAATAAGTAACAAAATTGACTGGAAGAGAAAAGGTGTCAGGGCCCAGGACTGGCCAGGTCTCGGGCCCAGCTTAGGTAGGTTCCAGACGCGGACCACTAAGCTCCCTTGCTCAGGAACAGTTTCTCGTAGGTGCTTGAGGGCTATCTACTTTAGCTGGAGAGAGAGAAACAGAGTATCTGAGAGAGAGTAAAGGTCTTCTTAGAACAGATAGCTCTTAGTCTTTAGCAGAGCTTGGTAATCTTCAGCAGAGATGCCGTGCTGGCGTTCTGCAGGCAGGAGAGGAGACAGAGTCAGAGTAAGTGGACCCATCATAGAATGCACATGCCTCTTGACTGCCTTCTCCTCCAGCCTAATATAAGGCTGAGCTGTGCGTCTCACCACCACAGGTGTAGAGACTGCCAATTCACCAATGCTCTCATCTCGCGAGCTCACTCATGCTTGTTAGAACCAAATCTCTCTCCAGGCCCTTTTCACCAAGGTGTTCCATTACAGGTATTTCTTATAACTCTCACTCCCCCAGCCATAGGCTATACGGGCTGCTACAAAAGGTATAAAACATGCCCCCAAATTTGGAAGTGGAGACATGTTAAGACATAATTCTTTCATATGAAAACACCGCACTGTACCCCAGAACTGCATTAATGTACATAGTTATCATTTAATTAAAAAAAGAAGACATAATTCTTTCAAACATATATGGGAGAGGAATTCATTCCCCATCTTCTGTTGTCTAGGGACAGAGCTGTGAATAAAGGGAAAATATATAGGAAATGCCATTTCAATATAATTATAAGGGAAAAAATTTTAAGCATGGTTATTACCTAATGAACAGCTTTGGGGAGAGTTGAAATTCTCCATCCTTAGAGGGGGTTCTCTCAAAGGCAAGGGACTGATTCACATGATTACTTTTCTGTAGAATTCTAAGGTACCAAATGAAAAGTTGGAATAAAATAACATTTAAGATAAGTACCTGTCAATTCTGTGATATGAGAACTCTTAGGGAGGAAAAAAAAGTCCCTAATAGATATGGTGATTTAAATGGTACCCAACGCTATAGTTATTTCACTTGTGAAATCGAAAGGTCATTACTAAGACTTCTGGGAAAAAAAAAAAAAAAGAAGACTACTCTCCCAGAAAAGGGCAGATGCTGAAAGACTTCCTGGATTGTGGGTTTTGAAATCTAAAGAAATTAATGGAGTTTCATTTTAGACCAGTTTACTTACAGAACTCTCAGTGGATAATATACGGTGGAATTTTTCCTAAGATGTGAAGAGAGGAAGTGGTGCAAATTGCTTTAGAAAGAATAGTATATTTAGAGAAAAATATGCAGAGTGTGGTACAGCTGGTACACCAGGGACTAAATCATTTGTGCTTCCTTTGCGGGAGACATGTAGACAAGGAGGAAAGACAAAGGCTGTGAATGTAGGGTAGTAAAGGAAGCGGAGGTGGAAAGGAACGACAAAAGGAGAGCGTTAATAAATATTTTTGGGTTGAAGCAAGATAATTGTTCTTTTAGGGTGCCTTCAGTGAGGTTTTATCTTTATTCTCTTCCAGGGTTATTTTTCTTGCAGAGCATTATAAAATGAATCATTTTCTTTCATTTCCAGATTCAGCTTGGCAGTTGCCTTGGAAGTACTAATTATGTTTTCCTTACATAAGAGAGGAGAGACCTATTATTTTTGAAGGTTCTTTTTTATTTTTTAACTATGCTCTAAAACTTAAAACAGTTAAAGATTATGTCACAGCTATTTCTGAAATCATTCTATTGACGATGAATATCAAGAAAATGGTGATGGTGTGCTGTTTGGAAAATCCTTTGAGAGAATTATTTGGACTGAGGTTTTTATTTTTTAAGAAAATGAAACTATAGCTAGAAATTTAAATATAACTTTGCATAACATCTAGCATGATTTTATAATAGCAGCACTTGAGGAAATATCAGAGCAGCTATCTACACCCAAACTCTTACAGAATGAGGCAAAGGTCAAACCAGTCAGTATCTAAGACAGTTGTGATTTGAAAATAAAATTATCCTATTCATTTTTTTAATTTGGACTATGTAGAAGTTGATTATCGCAATTTATTTTATTCCCAAGTTAACATTTCAAGTAATAAAGTTTATATTCCAGGGATAAGTTGTTCAGGTCTTATACCCCAATAACAACTTTTCTAGTTTAGAAGATAAAATAATATCATAAGAACCATCAAAAACAAACAATTAAAGAAAAAAATAGTTTTTTATGCAAATGATAGTGGCTTCAGGTGGGAAAGAAGCACAAAATTCTAATGGCAACCTTGAAGTCATTTGTGGTGACTTTTTGCCCATCCAGGTAGACCAGATGTTTTTACATGACAGTTCCTTTTTGAATAGTGGCTATTGCCTGGCATATGGTAGATGGTCAATATACACTTGTTAAATAAAAGAACTAATGAATGACTGAATGATGACTAAAGGAGGAAAGGAAAGAAATGGCTGACAAATTCAAGGAAACTAATGAGAGTGCCAGGAAGCAGTATTGCTTATTACAAGCGTGCCAGCCAGGGTGCCTCAATTTGAAATCTCGTTCTGTCCATCATGAAGTATGAGACCGTAGGCAAATCAGCCACCTCCTCTATATCTCAGTTTCCTTTTGCTTATGTTAAATATGCTGTGGTGAGAAATATATGTTACATTACCAAAAAATCACTTTTAAAAGTATATGAAACATAGTAAATGTCGAGTAAACTTTAGCTATCGAGATTATTATAAATGCCTTACCTGGGTAATTCACTACAAAGGTCATCACCACTATGAAATTAGACCACTAAGATTAAAGACAAGTTTTCTAGAACTCAGACAAGTGGGCACAATGAATATAAAATTTTGGGGTTCAAACTCTAAAACTTGCATATATCATAGAAATTACTTTTCTGTTTTGAGATTGTGTAGGCTGATCCTTCACAAACAATTCTCAAAAATGTCCTGAAGATAATGGCTCCTTGCAGACACAGATTGGAGGCCTGTTTTACAAGGGTAAACAGATGACTGACAAATTCATCTTAACTTGAGAGCTATTGGCTACTAATTTTCATTATAGATTTGGTGTATAAGAGTAAATGGAGATGAAACAGTTTTATTAGTACATCAATGCTTTATCGCTTATAATTGCCTTAATTTTGCTGATAAACTAAATCAGAGAGTTCCATGATCCAGAAAGGATGGCTATGTGTGGGTGAAAATCATTGCCCTGGACTCCTGAAGTCTTTGGGAAGCTGCAAAGGAAACACCTGTATGGGGGGAGGGGAGAAAGGGATCTATTTACACATGTGACAGAACTCAGATTATAAATTTTTGGAAATCAGGTGCTGTGTTTAGTATCATTTCCTTTATTATGCAAAATCTACTCCCTAGCAGTCTGGCTAGAGCAGTTGCTCTCCCTAACAGAAGACGGATTACATTAGAAGAACAACAGGTAATCTCTGTGCTGTGTGCATCTAAGAAAACTGGTGAAAATTTAGATTTCTGTTTTGAAAATATCAACAAAACAGATGCATTGCCCACGTCTACTTTTGCACTCTCTTCCCCTTATACCTGCTCTCCCTTCTTTTCTATTTCTCTCCGTGGTCACTGCTACGGACTGCATGTGTTCCTTTGCAAAGTCATATCTTGAATCTCTACCCCCTGACGTGATCATATTTAGTGATAGGGTCTTTAGGGAGTAATTAAGGTTAAATGAGTGGCCCTAATATGATAGGACTGGGCTTTACAAGAAGACATGATGTGTTTATAGTAAGAGGTAGAAGAGGAAGAAGAGAGATTTCTTGGTCAGCACAAATATAGAGGCAAGGCTCTCACCAGGATGCCGTGAGAAGATGGCCATCTGCAAACCAGGAAGAAAGCTCTCACCGAAAACCTAGTTGGGTGGCTCATGCCTGTAATCCTACCACTTTGGAAGGCTGAGGTGGGAAGTCCAGGAGTCCAAGACCAGCCTGAGCAACAGAGCAATACCCCATCTCTATAATAAACAAACAAAACCCCAAACCTAATTGGTTGAAACCTTGGACTTCCCAGCTCCCAGAACTGTGAGAAAATGAAGTTCTATTATATAAACCCCCATTCTGTGGTATTTTGTTATGGCTGCCGAAGCAGACCACGACAGTCACACACAGGGGAACAAGAGCTTTGTAAATTTACACACGGCTCCACTGGAGTCACACTCACCATTAGCAGTCTGTCTCCTACTTGCAACCTTCCATCCTTTTGTGCAGCTCCTCCGTCTATGATTTTAGTTACATAAATGCTGTTGTCTCCAGGGATGTGTTGGTTTCCCACACCTCCTGCAATACTGAAGCCTAAACCTAGGTTAAAGGAACAGAAAATAGAAAGCCTTATTAACATTTTCTTTAAGAACATGCAATTAGCCATATTTAACAATTTTTTTAATGAATCCTCAATTCATTATAACAGCAATAAATAACAGTAAGATTTCTATTTCAATATATTTTGTTCCCCAAATATTTGAAAGATTGTTGATTTGTGCAAATGAGACAAAGATGTTGAAGCAGATCCCATGGGAACCCTAGTTTTGTTCTATTTCAGGACTGTATAACTAACAGTTATTACCCACTTTATGATAGGTGACTGGCCAGAACGGGGATCTGACAAAAGGTCTGGAGGGATGCTAGGTGGGCCCGAAAACCAGAAATACAGGCCTGAGCGTGTGGCCACAGTCTCTGGGCTCATCTTCCTAGTTGTTACCGTGGCACAGAGAACAGAAGTATCCCCAGTCACTTGGGCAGAGAAACCTGGATACTCCTGACACTTCAGGAATTAAAATAAAGCTGTTGGAAAACTGCACAAATTCTGAGACAAGAGCCATGAGGAAAATACACTAGGTATTTACATACTAATTTCAGAGAGAAGATAAGGGAAAGAAGCTGCTAGGCTTTCGTGTCTCCTTCTCCGGCCACCTTGTCATATTTTCATACTTCCTGGCACTTACTGTTACTAACTGACAGCGAGGCTAGTCAGACAAAAACCTGAATCGTCTCTCTGTACAGTCTAAAGAAATAGATTATATATTTTGACCTTATTATCTTTATAATAAATAGCATAATATCAAATCATCTTAAACACGGTGATTTTCTGGGCCAGGCAAGGTGGCTCATACCTGTAATCCCAGCACTCTGGGAAGCCAAGGCAGGTGGATTGCCTGAGTTTATGAGTTTAAGACCAGTTTAGAGATGAGAGACCTCATCTCTAAAAATAGCCAGGTGTTGTGGCAGGCACCTGTAGTCCCAGCTATTTGGGAGGCTGAGGCAAAAAAATTGCTTAAGCCCAAGAGTTTGAGGTTGCTGTGAGCTGTGATGCTACAGCACTCTACCAGGGGTGACAAAGTGAGACTCTGTTTCAAAGATAAAAATAAAAAATGGTGATTTTCTATTTTGAGAGATGAATTTTACTGTACTATGACACACATATGAAATTTCTACTTACATGAAACTATAGAATGATAACAATAATAGAGTTATAGTTATGTCTACATAACACTATTTGGGTAATGATGGACCACATCTATAATGGTGGTCTCATAAGATCATAACAGAACTGAAAACTTCCTATCACCTACTAACACTGTAGTCATTGTAACACTGTAGTGGTGTGTGTTACTCATGTATTTGTGGTGGTGTCAGTGTAAAGAAAGCTACCGTGCTGCCAGTATAAAAGTATATACATACACATGTGTACAGGACATAATACTTGACAATAAATGACTCTGTCACTGGGTTATGTACTTATTATAGTATACTTTCTTTAATCTTAGAGTGTATTCCTCTATTTAGTAAAAAAAGAAAATTAACCGTAGACAGTCTGAGCAGGCCCTTCAGGAGGTATCCAGAAGAAGGCATTGCTATCCTAGGCTACGGCACTCCATGAATGTTATTGCCTGAAGACCTTCCAGTGGGACAAGATATAAGGGTAAAAGACGTGGATATTGATGATCCTGACCCTGTGTAGACCAGGCTAATATGTGTGCTGATGCCTTCGTTTTTAACGAAAAAGTTTTAAAAAGTAAAAAATAAAATTCAAAATAGATAAAAGCTCATAAGGAAAAAATACTTTTGTATAGCTATGTATGTGTATGTCTTGAGCTAAGCACTATTAAGCAAAGTCAAAAGGCTCAAAAATTAAAAAGTTTATAAAGAAAAAAGTTATGGTAAGCTAAAATTAACATATTATTAGATACTTTTTTTTTTCTTTTAGAGACAGAGTCTTACTTTACCGCCCTCGGTAGAGTGCCGTGGCATCATATAGCTCACAGCAACCTCCAACTCCTGGACTTAGGCGATTCTCATGCTTCAGCCTCCCGAGTAGCTGGGACTACAGGCACCCACCATAATGCCTGGCTATTTTTTTGTTGCAGTTTGGCCAGGGCTGGGTTTGAACCCTCCACCCTGGGTATATGGGGCCGGTACCCTATCTGCTGAGCCACAGGCACCGCCCTATTAGAGACTTTAAAAATAAATTTAATGCAGCCTATGTGCACAGTGCTCATGAAGTCCACAGGAGGGCACAGTAGTGTCCCAGGCCTGCCCAGTCACTCATCACTCAATGGCTGACTCTCCCAGAGCAGCTTCCAGCCCTGTAAGCTCCACGCATGGTCAGTGCCCTACACAGGGGTATCATTTTAATCCTTCAGACCATATTTTTGCTGTACCTGTCCCATGTTTAGATATGTTTAGTTACAGAACTATATGTACCATTGCATTCCAGTTCCCTACAGTATTCAGTATAGTGACTGTTTTGGAGGTTTGTAGCAGAGGAGCAAGAGGCTGTACCATCTAGGTTTGTGTCGCACACTCCACTAGGTTTGCACAACAATGAAGAAATCACCTAATATTTTTCAGACCATGTTCCTATTGTTATGGGACACATAACTGTATTAAAAAAATCATTAAGAGGAGCGTCGCCTGTGGCTCAAAGGAGTAGGGTGCCAGCCCCCTATAATGCAGGTGGTGGGTTCAAACCCAGCCCCGGCCAAAAACTGCTAAAAGAAAAATCATTGAGAGGTCTTCTAAAGGAATGATTGATAGAATACGTAAATATATAAGGATAAAAACAAATCTCTTTCAAAATATGATTAGATACACATTTGGTACAATACTTAAATATATTTTCATTGCATTTTAAAATCATAACGATAATTCACTTGCAAATTACTCAGAAAGATAGATATTAATCAAAGCCCTTTGTACTAAAGATAATTTCTGTAACTTACTTGGCTTAAGAAATTTTTTTAAAAAACATACACCTAGTCATTGATAAACCTGTCAGAAAACTTTAGCCATTTTACACAACAATAGTATAAAATACTTTAAAAATATTCCATTTGACTAAACTTTTACTGTGTAAACACCGGGTAGTGCTCTGTGCTCTTAAGATAGTATAAATGATTAATTCATTGAAAAATGATGACATAGTAAACTATAATAGGACACTCTGAATTATACTTGAAATGGAATCTTTTTTAAAAATTAATTATCATAGTTGTTAAAAACAAATGCAAAACAGATTTAAGTTGATAGGGCAATTCAAGTTAAGTGTTTTCTAATTTCCTTCTGATGTGGGTAATTAGCCTTTGTTGATGCTTTGCCATCCATAGTACCAAGAATGTATTTGCTTGCCTTAGATTTAAAATTTGTTTATTAAGCAAAAGACGATCAAAGAATGAATAAAATGACCCTTAATTGACTTTCCTATGACATTTGAAACACATATTAGCTCCTGCTTCCCCCAACTGTTACTTTATTATTATACATTTAGGGAGTTCAAAAAATATATTTAAAGTACCACATGCTAAGATCAAACTACTGCATTTACAGTGGTGCAGCGGTCATTCCAAACTCTGGAAAGAGAAGGTTATAAACAATTTCAGGGGCTCTGATTTACATGGACTGTGCTAAGCAGTAAAAGCTACAGACGGTCTTAGTTACAAAGGGTTGTGGAAGTAAGTTTTCACCATAAAGAAGGTTAAGTCCAAGACAATACGTATGTAGTTGATGTTTAAAGATTGTACCAAGACAATGAAATCACTATGGATGCTACAGATACAAGTATATCAGTTAAAAAGCAAACAACGTTTTTCCTCGAGATTAGGTTTATGTCTTTCTTTTAAACTAGTGACTGTTCAAGGTGAAGCAAGGTATTTTTAGTAAATATCGTTTTCTGAGCCAGAGGATGTTTCTGAAGGTACAGAGATAAAAATGTTTCCAATTTCTCTTTTGTGGATGAGACATGAATGCATTTAAAAACAAGATTTTATCAACACCCCACCATACGGTGGATAGTTCATTCAACACAGTAAATATGTAATTTATGTCTCCATCCAGAATACAAGTTTATTTAAAGGTGGAAATATCCATCTGTGTTACAAGATTGCATCTGCCTTCATTGATTCTCACATCCATCATTTAGTAAATATCTCTTGAGTACAAACTATGCATTGTATCACCAGCTGCTATCAATTGTGTACAAAATAAACATAAAGGAATGCGTTGACCAGAAACACTATAGTAATAATAATCCTTGAGTGGGTTCATGTGAGGGAGTGTAGTTGAATATGACTGAAGCAATGTTCTAAACCCAAAGAGTACTAGTATTAATAATTTTTGGATGACTACTCTATGAAGACAAGGCTAGACACAGGGCTAGGACCACTAATCAGTAAGACCAAAGCCAAATTATCTGGCCCTCCTTTGTGTATACTCTGTTAAAGCCGGGGCAGGTGGTTACATTATAGCACCTAGACCAGGTAAGTCTCTCCATGATCAACACCCCTCACCCCTGATATTTCTAAAGCACTCCAGCCATAAGCCCACCTTGGAGTCATTGCTGCAGCTGTTCCTGCTGCCTGGAACAGACCTCATCCAGGGTTTTGTCTGATCACAGTATCTCCAGGAGCTTGACCCTGAGCTCCCTATTGAATACCGTCCTCAGACTATACACCCCTCTCTTTTACCCTGCTCTACTTTTCATTTTCCCTTAGGACTTAGTATCTTATACTATACAAGATGTTAACACACACACGCACACACACACATATACATCGTGATGATAGGTTGTTTTGTCTGTTTCGTATGAGTATTGTCGAATTAGAGCAAGACCAGACCTGTAGTTGCCTCGTAAATATGGATTAAATGAAAGAATGAACAAATCTAATACAAGAAGACAAGGCAAGTCACATGTCTCTGAGAAAAGTCCCCCAGTAAAGATGAAGGTGGTGGTTTTGAATGAGTGAGGAACAGAAACAGAGATCCTTGTTAGTCGGACTCAGTAACTGTCCAAGGCACTGTGCAGC